AAAGAAACTGGAAACAAATGATAAATTTATCTCAGTGTGTAACTAAGTGACATGGAATCAGTTGAGTATGCGAACTTACAAAACTAAGAAAACTATCTATATAACTGATATTTCAAGTACAGGATACTAAATATCATAAAGGGCAGTGTTTTGCACTTGGATAGACAGACAGATACAACACAGAACTTCGTAAGGATGTATATATCAGTTCAGGTTGCCATACCACATATTAGCACAGAGACGCGATTGTCAGTTCAAATCCAATAGTGGTAGTGATAGTAGAAGTATTAGCAGTAATGAAGAAGATTAGGGTATAATTCAGTGAGATAAAGTTAGAAAGAGAAAGATAGAGGTCATGAGGAATTCAGAAGGTTAGAATTTGAAAGAACATAATGAATGGATACACCTGCGTCATTACAAAAGACTTCGAGCCATGTCATTCAAGGTCTTTAACCACCGGTGACTATTGTCTCGATGACCCCCAACCACGTAGCCTACATCTACAAACATAACTCAGTCCATCTGTCAATGACTTCATGGATTTGTGCCATGTTTTCGGTTTGGCCGCCCCTAGCTATCTTCCAACCTACTCCTACACTACAAAACATAGCTGTTTGCACTTGGGCACTAAATATAGCCAAAGAATACTAATAATACTAATAATAACAATAAATAATCAAAAAATCCATTAAAACAAACAAGGAATCGTATTTGTGTAGGCAAAGTTATTTTCTATTGATGTGACTGCGTGCGTCGTTTTTGATCTGGCTGGCTACAAATGTCAGTTAAGTTCATCAACTAAACAACTATTGAACAGAACAAAACAAAAACATGCGAGCGAGAGAGCGCGCACGCACACACACACCTTGATGTTGTAGGTGGTGGTGGTGGGGGGGGGGAGTAGCGAATACCGTTTGTCCTTTTACTCTTCTTTATTTCTTTCTAACAAAAAATGGTGATATTCTAGTTTCAGCTAATGACCGTAGAAAGAGAAGTAAAAACAAACAATTAAGTGGTTGCAAAAAACAGTGAAAAAAAGAAGGGAATACCAGTTGAGAAACGAAATAAGGAAAGTGTTTCTTTTTTGTTTCTTTTTGAAAGATATTTCAAGTATTTATTGAATAGTAAGTTGTTTTGTGTTGTTGTTTTTTATTTCACTTCTAATTCATTATTGATTTTTTTTATTCATTGTAAAAATCAACTACCACCAGTGATACGAATGTAGACAATTTAGTGTTTTTTTTCATTACTTACTTACTTACTTACGCCTGTTACCCTCAATGGAGCATAGGCCACCGCCCACCAGTTTTCTGCAACCAACTCTGTCCTGGGCTTCCCTCTCCAAATCTGTCCAATGTTTGTTCATTCTTCTCATGTCTTTCTCTATTTTTCGGCGTTCCTTGGCCTTCCTCTTTTCCTTTTGCCTTGAGGGTTCCGTGTGAGGACTTGTCTTGTGACGCAGTTGGGTGCTTTTCGCAGTGTGTGTCCTATCTACTTCCACCACTTCTTCCTCATTTCCTCTTCCACTGGAATCTGATTTGTTTTCCCAAACAGAACGTTGTTGCTGATGGTGTCTGGCCAACGAATACGAAGTATTTTGCGTAAACAGCTGTTCATAAATACTTGTATCTTATGGATGATGGCTTTCGTGGTTCTCCAAGTTTCCACTCCATACAGTAGAACTGTCTTGACATTTGTATTGAAAATCCTGATTTTGGTTTTGGTTGAAAGTTGTTTGGAATTCCAGATATTTTTCAACTATAGAATTGCTTTGCCAATCCGCGCCCTCACATCTACATCGGATCCACCTTGCTTGTCGATGGTGCTGCCAAGATATGTAAAGGTGTTAACGTCCTCCAAGGCATCTCCATCAAGATTGATTTGGTTGGTGCATGATGTGTTGCATCGGAGAATTTCGCTTTTCCCTTTATGTATATTGAGACTTACTGCTGCAGAGGCTGCTGCTACACTGGTCGTCTTCTCTTGCATTTGTTGTTGCGTGTGAGATAGAAGATCCAGATGATACCGTGCTTCCCTCCAGATGTCGACGTCTTCATAATCCAGTTTTTTTTCATGGTGTGTTGTAAACAGTTCAGTGTTATTATTGTAATCAAATATATATATATATATATATATATATATATATATATATATATATATATATATATATATAGTGATAATAATAATAATTAATGATCTATTCAATCAATCAAGAGTAACGTAGAACTTCGTACGTATGCACATACGTACGTACGTACTGTACATCAGTTGATGTGGCCATACCACAGCAGAGCACACAGAGACGCAACTGTCAGTTCAAATCAAAGAGTGATAGCGATAGTAGAAGTATTAATGGTAATGAAGAAGACTGGGGTTTGAAGATATTATTGAAGAAGTATAATTTAGTGAGATAAGGTTAGAAAGACAAAGTTAGAGTTGTTGACGAATCCAGAAGATTAGGATTTAAGTGAATACAAAGAGTGGATGCACATGCACCATTGCAAACGATTTTCAGCTATGTCGTTCAAGGTCTCTAACTATTGGTGACTTTTGTCTCGCGGACCCCAACCAGGTAGTCTACATCCAACAACATGACTCAGTCCACTTGTCGGTGACTTTAGGTATTTCTGCCATGTTTTGGTTTGGCCGCCCCTAACATTCTTCCAGCCTACTCCTACACCACATAACGTAGCTCGTCGAGGCAGTTGGTGGTTGGGCATTCGTAACACTTTTCCCAACCACCTTAACTGATGAAGTTTCACTACTTCATCTATTGATCTGCCATCTTTATCTAGTACTCGTTTTCTAATGACAGCATTGCTTACTTGGTTGTCCCACGATATACGAGCAATGCTTCGGAGACGCCTGTGATCGAAAACAAGCAACCTACGAATATATTCCACTCTTAGCGGCTACGGAGCGAACTGCTACATAGAACACCCGACCTTTACTAACCAAAAATCGAGTGTACAAACAAATATAATTGAAAATAAATTACCTTTCTGTTGATATATAAGAATTATCCATTTGTGAAAATATAGATTTCTGTTCTATAGTATCTAAATTTGTTAAATGTGAATTATTTTCAACAAATGAACATATTGGCAATGAATGTTGAATGGAACCGTGTAATTTTGTATTGTCCATCATGAATCGTTCTCTATTAGTGTCTAAATGTGAAAGCATCAAAATTTTAAAAAAGAAAGAAGAATGTACATACATCCAGATCGATATACACTGAATGAACAATTCAAACAAACTGTTTTATGATACAAAAAAAATTGAATTTTAGATTATTTCATGAATTTCGTTGATTTGCATAACATTAAAGTGTTGGGGACGTTATATCCCCAGAACTCATTTGATAAAGGGTCATAATTTCGGATTTTTTTCTCATGTTTTCGCGCATAATCTGCTCAGTTGACCTTGAGATTAAAATTTCCCACTCGGAAATTGCTTGACTGTCATTGGTTGATGTGGTATTTTAGTACGCTGTTTTTTTATGGCTCTCCCAAGGACGTTTCTATGATGGATAAATAAACTCGATTTATGTGCTTGTCAACCTCATATTTTCTCGGTGCATGTAGAATACACTTTCTACACCATCTCAAGACTTCTTCATCTAATTAATAGGACCTTGGGACGCTCGAGTTATAGTAGCCTATTGTGTCACTGTCTTCGCTCTAGCTTACAGACTAAGGTGAACTTGTATAAGTTTCAAGCATATCAATTGACGAGCATAACAGTAAGTGTCTATCACTATCATTTTCATCATGACTATAAGTAACCATAACATTGTGGGACTCGTCTTACTGTCTTTTCCCGTTGAATGCAAAACAAGTTTAGAAACTTCAGTAAACTAAAAGGCTTGACGTTGGATTACAAAAAAAGTTGTTGGTTTTGGATGCTGACAATTAGTCAGAATACAAAGTTACACATTTTTGAAACCATGAATCGATCAATGTTAGACCACCATTAGAAACCTGGAAGCAGTGGACGGCCGTTTCGTCCTGGTATGGGACTCCTCAGCAGTGCGCATCCACCAATCTTCACAACCCGTGTAATGAAAATTACCTGTGCTCACTAGTGACTAGCTTCGTGAGGAATCTTCTCCGAGTTCTAGTGGGAAGACGTGACCAGTGAAGTTCAACCTGTTCTGGTGTAGACAGTAACTACCGAAGACTGTGTATGAGGTTGCGCAACTCCGTGAATTTGATCAAGTTAGACATTAACACTGTTAGAAACCGGCTAAGCGGTCTAACGGTTAGGGCGTTCGCGCACAATACCGAAGGTCCTGGGTTCGAATCCTGCGGGATGCAGGAGTCGTGGATACGCACTGCTGAGGAGTCCCATACCAGGACGAAACGGCCGTCTTTCAGTGCTTTCAGGTTTCTAATGGTGGTCTAACATTGATCGATTCATGGTTTCGAAAATGTGTAACTTAACAATCTTCACAACCCCTGTAATGAGAATACAAAGTAACAAAAACCAAAAAAAGTGGTTTTGTTTCCCGACCGCTGATTTTCAGATACAACTGACAAATTTTACAAATATATCATAGAGCTGTTGTTCAACAGTTAAAGTATATGATCATTTAGGTAGGGCTGGTTTCAAGCCCTACTTCATATGATTTCAAATTTTATATTAGCACAATATTTCGAGTTATTACAAACGTCCGTAACAAACGGAGCTGAGAATAAAGTATAGAAATTTGTACTTAATAACATTCCCGGTTGCTTCATTAATAAGAAATGTGAGTAGAACTGTCATAATGTTAGTTTAAAAAAAAATAAACTTGTTGAACAAAATGGTTCTTCAATATAAGCTTGATAAAGACTGAAACTTCACTTACTAGGCAACTAACAACGGCTTCGAGCTTTATTTTCTGTACCAGGTAAATTAACTAGCCTAGGGTAGTTGAAAGACTTTCATTCTAAACCAATGGTGCATATATGCTCCATGATTCCGATAGAAAAAATGGTGCACGAACGGATTCTTTCTTGTCTTAAATCTATTTCACTGAATTATACTTCTTAAATAATATCTTCAGACCGTAAAACTAAGCATTCGTCCGAACTTATGAGGTAGTGGTTAGAAAAGTAGCTGTTTTTAGACCAATGGGAATGATATTGGTTCTAAGAACTAGTGAGCAACCATTCATATATGTGAACTGACGTTGTCCTGAAAAGAAATCAGACTGTTAAAATCTTTCTAAATAGGTTACTAGTGGATAAGATAACCAGCTTTTTGTTAAATTAAAACTGATATAAATTCATCTAGTTATTTTAACAGTCGAAGACATACATAATGCCATCATTGTTTGTAAAATACGGAAGTGATTACAAACACAATGTTTAAAATATCAAGAGTCAGATGCAACGTAGAACTTTGTACGTTAAGTACATCAGTTCATGTCGCCATACCACATCAGCACAGAGATATAATTGTCAATTCGAATCCAATAGTAGAAGAGGTAGTAAAGGTATTAGAAGTAATTGGAGAGATTAGGATGAGAAGATATTATTCAAGAAATATGATTCAGGGAGAAAAGTTTAGAAAGTCAAAACTAGAGGGGTTGACGAATCCAGAAGATTAGGATTTGAGAGAACACAAAGTATAAATGCACAGGCGCCATTGCAAACGATTCTGAGCCATGTCACTCAAGGTCTCTAATCATCGATTATTATCATCTCACGGACCCCAACCAGGTAGTCGACAACTACCGACATGGCTAAGTCCACTTGTCAATGACTTCATGGATTTCTGCCATGTTTTGATTTGGCCGCCCCTAACTTTCTTCCAACCTATTCCTACACTACAAAACAAAGCTCGACGAGGCAGTCGGTGGTTGGGCATACGCAACACATGTCCCAACCACCTCAACTGATGAAGTTTCATTACTTCATCTAATGATCTGCCATTCTTACCTAGCACCCGATTCCTAACAACCGCGTTGCTCCCTCGGGTGTCCCACGATATACGAGCAATGCTTCGAAGACACCAATGATCGAAAACCAGTAGGTGTCTTCGAAGCATTGCTCGTATATCGTGGGACACCCGAGTGAGACGTCTGAAACTCTAGATTTTCGAAATCATAACTCATCAAATCATATATTTTTGACACTCAAGATAACTATGAAAAGTTAATCCAATCTCGGTAAAATAAAACTTACGATGACATGTTGAAGGAATACAGTCATTTGTTGGTCCCAATATTTGCTGATCAATGAGCAAAGATGGAATATGCGGCGACCTCTTGTAGCTTGTAGCTTGAAAAACCAAATTCCCATGTTCTACGAACAAGCATCCATTGATATGACAACCTTCAAGTTCTGTATATTGAACAAAACTTGAATTATGAATATCCATAGTAGAACAAAATTCCTCTTTTAGTGTGGATTGATTTTTTGTAGTGTCAGAATTTCTTAACAACGTTGCAACATGGGACTTTGTTGCAGCGCTGGAACGTTTAGGTAGTGTGATCAATGGGGAGCCTATCGACTCAAAATTACTCTCAGTTTCTGCACAATGTGTCTGTGATGCAAAAAAAGCTCTAAGATCTCCATGTAAAGGAATGCCTTTCATTTGATTTGAATATAATTTTCCAAGCCAAATACCACAAAGTTCAGCAGGATAATGATCGTCTAAACTTGATGTTTGATTATTTTTATCTTTTATACAAGCATCATTATTGTAAGCAGATCCACAAAAACGACAATGTCGAATTTCTGAATTTCTCTGAAGAACAGAATAACCGCCTGGTGTATCTATTAGTGAATTTGTAGCACCCATTCACAACTAACAACTATCTAGGAGAAAATCAAAAATCAAGCAAGAATTTACGACGAGTATGATATTTACTTAGGTTTCAATAGTGAAGGCACGAAATATTTTAGAGAAAGAAACTGATTATACCATGTTAATTGCTTGATTTAATTTTATTTCTGTTAGATTATAAAATACAAACAAAGTATTGACTAAGCCATATTTCAATGAAACTGAAACCGTTTCTATATTTCACTTAAGCTTTAACCTGTCCATTTATTGAAACACAGGTTTATAAATCTATCTACTGATAGACTATTTTACACGCCAAAATACGAAAGAAAATACATAGCAATTGAATTTACTAATAGCTAAGCATATGATCGGTTATATGCGTCCGCCAACTATTAAAAATTCAAGTAAACTATCTACGCAATCAACTTTGATTCAAACAAAACAAGAAAACTACAATGCAGTTAGATTTCTTTTTTCTTAGTGTGAGATATTGAAAGAAAACATTAATTGCAAATACAATCTACATTTTTTGGGGCACAGTTTTGGAGGTTTGCGTTTTTACACATTTGAAATCATCAATCAATCATTGTCAGACCAGAGTTAGATATTAACACCGTGGGATGCCGGCCCAGTGGCCCGATGGTAAGGCGTTCGCCTACAATGCCAAAGGTCCTGGGTTCGAATCCTGCGAGGAGCAGGAGTCGTGGATGCGCACTGCTGAGGAGTCCCATACTAGGACGAAACGGCCATCCAGTGCTTCCAGGTTTCTAACGGTGGTCTAACAATGATTGATTGATGATTTCAAATGTGTAACAACCTACATTGATGAAACCAGATGTAGAGTATAGTAAAAAAAATGACAAAATCTTTTGAAATGCAAGTGATACAACAAACAAATCAAAGTCATTAACTTTAGATCATATCAAGTTTTCATTGCATTTTATTGAAATCGCAACTTGATACCAACAGGCACGATACCAGAAATGGATGTGAAAGGTTTATAAATGATTGTTTCGATTCCATTAACTCATATTTTCCAGGCTACTACCACATATTCTCTATTCAAACTGTATCTCCGAAATGTGTTATTTCTTATCACTAGCAATACTGTTACTACGTGTACTGCACTGGGACTATATGCAACGAATTCATCTTGCTATGCTTATGGGGTGTGACTTGAACTGATATACAAATTTGTCAGGTTCTAAGTGTTTATAACAAACTGACCAACACTAAATGGAAAGAAGAAAATTTCAAAATTAATGCTACCTTTGGTTATGAAAGAACATCTGGTAACGTTTGAATTAACCTGATTGTAATATATCTAGAAGTGAAAGTACATATACTATTGAAATGTCTCAGTATGCACTTTAACTCATAGATTCATCTATTGAACTGATCTCGCCAACTTCTAAACAGTTCATCAGTAGCGAAATGATGATGGACAACAACCATCGAACTTGAGTACATAAACCCTATTTAAGCACTGAAAGTGTTTTCACACATTGTTGCTTGTCTAAAAATGATCCTAATATCCAATTATTTAACAAGCATTACATCGGGATAATAACAATTATCACTGAACTGTATACACCTGATCTTGTCATGGTGACAAAGACCGAAATGAAATTGACTTTGGGTTGACCTACACAGATCTTCAGGCATTACCGAAAGATTTGTTATAGAGAGAAAAATGTTTACAGTCTCCCTCCAAGATGGAAAAATAAACTTTCAAACACCACACCTAAAGATGCTGATTACTGAGTTAGGCACCATCTGTATAGTTGTTGTACTAAAACCTAATATCTCCTGAATAACAAAGGTTGTATCCGTTCTAGAGGTAAAAATATCAACTATTACAAAACACTTTTACAAGAGGTTACTGAAATGCTAGTGAAAATGAATTCCAAAATCTGACTAAAACAGATGAACCAGCAGGTTTGGTGAAACAGAAACAAAGCAACTGATATTCTTACATTACGTGTGACATTTATGCACACAGCTCGTGAAATGTTAGGTTACATGTGTTTTTTAACAGACAACTAAACCATGATCCCACTCAACCTACTAGGTATTAAAGGTGTGGAAAAATAGCATTTATTAATCTTTAAAACATGTGATGGCATTAAAGTATTTACGGAATTGTGTTGTGGTTGGTACATTTACAATATGGAAGCAGAATCTGCCTTGTTAGTCAGATTTTCACTAGTTTCACATTAACTGATCACTGCCACCAGCCAATATTTGATAAAACTAATAACGAAATAATGATTTCTAAATAGACTGTGTATGGGTTTTTCAAAGACTAAAAGGACAAAAGATTTCAATTTTTTACTTTTAAAACAATGTGGTTGGCATCCCAATTAGGAAACTGTCTTTACGTATAAAGAGTGGAGAAGAGGAAGTTAATTATCAGGGTTTGAAATTCCTCATCGAACTTCAGTTCACCAGTTTACTGAGTTGTCTCCAAATGTCTTGGTACAGATTTATGGCGAGAGTTCGCTCTATTCCGTAAACCTCTTATGTCCACATTACACTGCTTTGTGGATGAGACCTATAAGTCAAAGGCTTTTGAGAATGAACTCCCAAGAAAACCATCTGCTCGATTTGGGTACTTGGGCGGTATCCCAGATTACACACATTCAATCATGTGCAGATATATTTCAGTGCCTCTTTATACCAACGTTTGTGCTTTAGTAATTATGCTTAAATAAAGCAGTCTGATGATGACGTATAACACCAGGTTGCCACTGTCATAGGATTATTGATACACAGTGGGCGAGTATTTTAATTTAAAAAGGAATGGAATAAGATTTTAGTTGGTAGATGAACTCAGTGATATGGTGTGACAGAATAATAGTTTTTACATAGACGGAACTGCTTGTAGATTACAAGTTCAAAAGCTAGAAAGAAACTTTGTCACAGCTTTCAGCTCACAACAGAGGTTTACTTACAAAGGACAGTCGTAAGTCCAGCTACAATCCTACAGACCTTAGTAACGAAGGATAATTACTTTCAAAACACCGGATACAGTTCGATTTAACACAGAAACATGTTACCAGTTTTTCTTCCCCGATACATATGGCATTTAGTCGCCGCTGCGAGTTACCAGCTAATCAACACCTTACCCTAATACAGCCACTACTAACGGGATTTCTGGTGTTGTAAATAGTCTGTGAATCAATTCACTTACACAGTAAAAGTTTTTGGACCGTATGTGCGAAGGACTCCTTAGCTTATTAGACAGGGCTGAAGAACAAACCTTATGAGGACAGGGTTCGAAACTTGGGATTAGTCTTTTTGAGTTACAAGAGAATCAGAGGTGATATGATAATCGCATACAACATATTAAGTACAATTCGTGAAACATTGTATTTCCTCAAATGCCCATAAATGTTCATTGACTATGTAAATCCATCTAACTTTTGGAAATGCATAGACATTATGAATCAGATATAAAGCAAGGGGAAAGGTGGATAAAGTTTTCTCCCAAGGTCTTCCTAGAGGTATAATCTCGTGAGAATATACTCGGTTTGACTTAAATAAAACATTGGTCTACGCTTGTAACTGTCATTAATAAGTATTCAAAGAATGATAAATTTCGAAATTAAAATTCTTGATGAAAATCTGATACAACTACCTACTAAGAACCCTTGAAGTAATGGTGTTAAACCCGACCAATCCTTGAAAAATCGGGCAAAGTGAGCATTGCAGTTCATCCGGTTATAACAAATTCCGTAACAGTTAGTGTCATGAAAACTTAGGAGAGCTTGCACTAATGACTTCATCAATAAAGTTTGTATAGAATGATATATCCTTTTATCGTGATTTCATAAATTAGTTTAGTCACTCAACACTTTCGTAGTGGATATTAGTAGATCCAATATCTAGTATCTTTCTCATGAACTAGTATAAATCAGTTGATTTCTTTGCACTCCATTCTTGTTCTTTCTTTACGTTCCAGGAATTCAGCAGAGTCCAATAGATGGTACCCTAGTCACCCCACTACACTGATACTAGTCAGTTGGCAGTTGTTTGTAAGTTTGTATGTCCCGTGATTTAAGTAATTTTGTTTCAGAAGTATAGGGTTTCTGGATATCAGCAGCTATAAGGCCGTAGATCAATTAGTTGCAGTGTGAAGATTTTTCGGGAGGTGATTTTGATACAAATACGAAAGGGAAAACTTCAGAAATACCAAAATAATTAGGTAATGAAGGTTGTGTTACAGGACAGCGGTGTGATCAAGCGCAAGGAAACAGAGATTATAGGCGATATAGAATACAGTAGTGATCTGAGGAAATGAACCTTGAAACTTTCGAGACATGCTGCTCCAAGAGGGAGATGATAATCCGTATGTGAGTAAGTGTTTATTGAGTGTCCCAAAAAATCATTCACTGAGGGTCTCGATGTCACTTTGGCTGCGAGAGCATTCCTAGTTGGAACAGCTCCCAGTGAGATAAAGTTGAGACGTATAAGAGTGTTTGTTCTTTAATGTGCAGTTTTGTGAGAGGTACCTCGAGTGGCGTAATAGTGATGTTTCGGCAAAATGCTCATTTTACCTTATCAGCAGTGAGCAGTATTTGTCCTACCGTTCTTTGTCAAGGACAGCACTACTTTCCAGTAAGCTACCATCCGCAGAGCCAACATCCCTGTCCCCCAATCGGGAACTGTGTTGTTGTCATTTACTTTTCATTTCTTATGCTCCGCACTGTTAACAGATACTGAGAAAGTCACAACAACCGGTAGTTTCGTTAGTGTATTAGCCCAGCTTGCGAGTTCCTTTGAGGCCTGTTCTATCTACCTTTTATTGGGCGAATTGGTTTTAATAGTGGGAAATGATGCGCGCCTTTGGCGTCAATTCTCTTAACTTAGTTGTCCTACTAGATCTTAACTGAGGAAGAAGAAGCTTTGAAATGAGTGACTTGGCATGAATATATAGTATTCTCTGGGCACTATAGTATCGCAAAAACAGTGAACTTTGGCCCTCTAGAAATCACCTTCAAATACAGGGTCACGAGTTTTAACGGACAAC